ACTGTTAATGATTGCCCTGATTGTAGATTGGATAGGCCTACTTCAGAATTTATTCACTATGAAAAAAATTTAGAATTTTAAATTATACGATATTAAGACAATAATTATTGGTCGGAAAAATTGGCTTAGTAATAGAATATTAGACACAGCAAGTCCAGGGCCGTCCAAGGCCGATACTACACCGGCCAGGACAACCTACCTAGCCGACTAGCTACTAATGGCCTAACCTACTTGAGCCTAAATTGACTTGGCACTTGCTGATAGTGGATAAAAATTTGTTCTATTTTTATTTGTGGTGTGTTCATTTTAAGTCTGGAGGGTGTTTCATGTTCTGTTGCAGACATTACTGGTATAGGCCTAACAATCATCAAATAATGTAAAATAAATTCAAATATGCTACAAACATATACAAAACACTGAGATCTCAGATATTTATTTTCATTTACATACTCATTTACAAAATATTATGCCTATTTCCTTATGCTTTTGTTGTAGATTTTGCATTTTTTTAACTCAAAATTATTCTTTGTCCCAGCTTTTTAGTGATTTTATGGGTTTTCAGAATAAAGTGTCATCCACAAAACATGTTGCTTTCCTTTCGCAGAAATATCAATCAAGGAGCACACATTTTATTTTACACCACTGTGGACCAAACTTCCACTTTGCTCTTCTGTTAGCAATAGGTTGAACATCAGCAGACAAGAGTTTTACATTACTTCTATATATATAAGCACCCTTTAATTTCAACTTCTTCAACTGTACTTCTTCTATATGTAATTGTAATAATATATAACTTCTTCATTTCTATTGCAACCTGTTCTTTTAAAGAGCTTGAAGCTAATTTTTCTTCTTGGCTCTAATACCCCACTAAATTATACAATAGTTAGTAAATAAAAAATCATTTATTTAAAAAAAATTGTATTTCATCACTGTTAATGATTGCCCTGATTGTAGATTGGATAGGCCTACTTCAGAATTTATTCACTATGAAAAAAATTTTAGAATTTTAAATTATACGATATTAAGACAATAATTATTGGTCGGAAAAATTGGCTTAGTAATAGAATATTAGACACAGCAAGTCCAGTGCCGTCCAAGGCCGATACTACACCAGCCAGGACAACCTACCTAGCCGACTAGCTACTAATGGCCTAACCTACTTGAGCCTAAATTGACTTGGCACTTGCTGATAGTGGATAGGCCTAAGCCTTTCTGTCTGTGTGGTGGGGATATGACCGGTTGAGCCACCGACAAGTTGAGCCGCCGGTCATTTCTATGGAACGCCAAGCGCGTCTCTCAGTGAATGTAGTCGGCTTGCCGATGTCATCAGTGAATGAACCCCCCAGATACCAGCTACATATTCATCCCACAGTCTCGTCGGTCTTTGATTTGCTCGTATTGCCGGTCGTGATGTATAACTGTGTAATTGAAAATTAGAATTTTGATATTTTTATGTACTACATTTTTATAAAAATATATGAAGTTGTATAATTGCAAAATCGTATTAAAAATGTAATTTTATGTACTACATTTTTATAAAATTAAATGAAGTTGTATAATTGCAAAATCGTATTAAAAATGTGTATATTTACGTTTGGTTTGCGGTGTATTTCAATTAACTTATTCGTTATTTGTACTCTTTTGTTAAATTATTTAATTAAATTATTTATTATATATAAGTTTAACAAATAGTACAAAAATAAAAATATATAAATTATAAAACCATAGTAAATACTGTATAATAACATAGGCCTAACATATTTAAATTTATTGTTTATAGTCATGCAAAATCGTATTAAAAATGTAATAACTTGATTATTTTTTACGTTTGGTTTGCGGGTATTTCAATTAACTTATTCATTATTTGTACAGTTTTGTTAAATTATTTAATTAAATTATTTATTATATATAAGTTTAACAAATAGTACAAAAATAAAAAGTATATAAATTACAAAACTATAGTAAATACTGTATAATAACATAGGCCTAACACATTTAAATTTATTATTTATTATTCATGCAAAATAGTATTAAAAATGTATTATTAAACTTGATTATTTTTTACGTTTGGTTTGCAGCGTATTTCAATTAACTTATTCGTTATTTGTACTATTTTGTTAAATTATTTAATAAATTATATTTATTATATAAAATTATATATAATAAATGATAAGAATGTATGGAGTTTTTTTGTTTTTTTTCTACTATCTAGCAAGCCGACTGAATTAGACAGATGACTATAAACAATAAATTTAAATGTGTGAGGTCTATGTTATTATACAGTATTTACTATGGTTTTGTACTTTATATATTTTTATTTTTGTACTATTTAGTAAACTTATATATAATAAATGATAAGAATGTATGAAGTTTTTTTTTTTTACTATCTGGCAAGCTGACTGAGCAAAAAATTAAAACGATAGAAAGAACAAGTAAATAAATTGAAATACGTCCCAATAAATATTTAATAAATCAGTGCAAAAACCGAGTATTAAATAAATTTAAATAATTGAGTAAATAAACTGAAATACATCCCAAACAACAGTACCAAGAACGAATAAGTTAATTGAAATATGCCGCAATTAACGCACTACATTCACTGAGAGACGCGCTTGGCGTTCCATAGAAATGACCGACGGCTCAACTTGTCGGCGGCTCAACCGGTCGCGATTTTTTCCCCCGTACGAAACATTTACATGAAACTCCACTCAGGCCGTCTCGGCTGAATCGACCCGAAAATCTCATTGCAGAATTCAGGAGGTCAAAAGGTCATCAACAGATAAACGTCTACAGAACAACTTCTGAGAGAACGTCGCTGTCTAATTTTTTAAAATACATTGATGTTACCGTGTTAATACCAATAGGTCGTTTAAAATGAATTTGATTAAGCTGCACGAGTAATGAAAAGTGTTATTTTAACTTGAGTTACATACTATGACAATTTTAATTTTTTAGTTAGGCCTGGGTTTTGCATAATTACCTAG